CAGCATCCTGGATGCCTCCTTTAGATGCCCAGCGTATGAGTTTTCCCCGGGAGTGTCATAACCAAGTACTATAAACCAGTGATTTAAAACACAAAGGTACTCTCCCAGTTCTGGAGGCTAGAAATCCAAAATCAAGGTGTTGGCAGTATCGTACTCCCTCTGAAGGCTCTAGGGGAGGATCCTTCCTTGCGTCTTGCAGCCTCTGGCTGCCCTGGGCCTTCCTTGGCTTGTGGCAGGATCACTGCAATCTCTTTCTCTGTCTTCCCTCTATGTACCTCTTTCCTCTTCTTATAAGGACACCAGTCATATTGGATTAAGAGCGCCCCCTACTCCAGTATGACCTCATCTTATATGACCTACATCTCCAATGACCCTATGTCCAAAGAAAGTCATGTTCTGAAGATTTGGGGGTTAGGACTTCAACATATCTCTTTTTGGGGAAAAATTCAACCCATAATACTCATTGACCACTTTATACTCACCATGTCCTGACTCCATACCTCCAACTGGAACCTGGACCAGAATACTTGCTGTCACCTAGAGGGCTCTCCTCCCCTCCTCAGACTGACAGTCACATGCCCTGTACATACTACCTCTCAAATGTCTTCCAATTCATTTCTACCCTTCCCACCATCCCTGCCTAGTCTTCTCCATCCCTCTTCCTCTCCCCATCCTGCCTCTACCCCAGATTTTTCCTTTGAGTCTAGCCAATAATCTTTCCTCTTCCCATCTTCTCTCTAGTCAACAGTGGGGGGCGGGGGGTGTCTTTCTAAAGCACAAATCAAACCCTGTCCTTCCTTTCTCAGAACTCACTGCCTGTAGGATTGCATTCAAGCTCCTTAATGTTGCCCATAAGGCCCAGCATGGGCTGCCCGTGACCACTGGACCCTGACCGCTCATGGGACACATGGTGGGACTTCATATAAACCTAGCCCCGGTGAAAGTCACCTTGCTATCCACTGTGCACCTGCACACACTGAGAGTAATGTGATCAGAGAAAAACCCAACTCACTTCAATTTCAAAGCCAATGACCCTGAATGATTGGGTCTATTTGTCGACTGGCCTGGCCACTCATTCACTATCTCAGTGCTTTCTCCTGTGTCTTCCCTAACCTCAAGATCTCCCTCTCACCTCAGACCCTGCTTCCTACTCGCCTGAGACAACCTAAGGAACAGAAGAGAACATTCATTCACATGTTCCTGACATCACATCTTGCCTCCTGCCTGCCTCCGTGTCCTCCCCTCCCGCTGGTTTTCTTTGGCTGAACAGCTCTTTTTTTTTTTTTTTAAAGATTTTATTTATTTATTTGACAGAGAGAGACACAGCGAGAGAGGGAACACAAGCAGGGGGAGCGGGAGAGGGAGAAGCAGGCTTCCTGCTGAGCAGGGAGCCCAATGCGGGGCTCGATCCCAGGACCCCGGGATCATGACCTGAGCCGAAGGCAGACGCTTAATGACTGAGCCACCCAGGCGCCCCTGGCTGAACAGCTCTTGCCCCTTAGACCACCCTCCACTCCTGCCCTGGGTTCCACTCACCATGCCTATTCAAGGACATTGCTCCACTCTCCCCTCCCTCATCTGCACCATCAATCTCCCCTCTTCTGAATCATCCTGAATTGGCGCGCAACATACTATTACAACTCCTATCTTAAATAAACCTCTCAAGACCCCAGGCCCTCTTCCAGATATACCCCTTTGACCATATACACTGACTCTCTCTAAACCTCTCAATCAATCAATCAACCCTCTCTTTTTTTTTCAAGATTTTATTTATCTATTTGAGAGAGGGAGAGAGAGCACGAGCAGGGAGAGGGGCAGAGGGAGAGGAAGAAGCAGACACCCCAATAAGCAGGGAGCCCAATGGACAGATGTGGGGCTCCTTGATCCCAGGACCCCAGGATCATGACCTGAGCAGAAGTCAGATGCTTAACCGACTAAGCCACCCAGGTGCCCCAATGAACCCTCTCTTGAACCCATCCAATCAGACTACTGCCCCCACCACATCACCCAAATTGCCCTCTTCAAGATTACTAATGATTTCCATACTGCTGGTCCCAGGGGTCAGTTCTCAGGTTCACTGGACTTGGCCTCTAGGTAGCACTTGGCTTCATTGATTCTTCCTTTGTCCTTGCTTTGCACCCTTCACTTGGCCTCCAGGACAGCAGACAGCCCTGGTTCTCCTCTCATTTCACGGAATACACCTGCTCAACCTCCTTTGCTGATGCCAGCCATCTATCCTGCAGTGCCCCAGCCTCGGGTCATGGACTTTTATCTATAGTTGCTCCCTCTCTAACCTCTCCTATTCATAGGGATTTATATGTCATTTGATCACTGACAACTCCTAAAGTTATATCTCAAGCCTGAACCTCTCCCCTGAAGTCCAGTCTCAAATATCCAACTGTCTATCTGACATAGGCACTTGGTGGAGTAAAGGGCATCTCATCTCAAGTTTGGGCAAACTTGAACTCTTGATCCTCTTGCAGCCCTGCCCTTCTTGCTTCTGGTAGCTCCAAGTTTCCTGCTGCTTAGGACAAAGACACTGGAGCCATCCTCGACTCACTTTCTTTCTTGCAGTTCCTGTACCCCATTATGCTTCACTTCACCTCCACAGCTACCACCCTGGCTGGAACCACCACCACCTCTCTCCTGAACCACCTCTCTCCTCAACATACTGGGCACCCAGCTTCCACTCTCGCTTCCAAACACAGTTCCCTAGAGAAATCCTACTAAAACCAGAGTCGTCAGATCATGCCCTTCCTCTGCTCAGGGGCCTCCTGTGACTCCCACTCAGTGTAAGGGCCAGCGTCCTGACAGGGATCCAGGAGATCTGTGCCATCTATCTCCCTGCTCTCCCCTCCCCACTGGCCTCCTCCGCGGTCCTGGAACACAGAAGGCACTTGCTCCCTCACCTCCTTCATGTGTCTACTCAAATGTCACCTTCTCAGGGAGGTCTCCCCTAGCCACCTTATTTTAAAATTACACACATACACACGAGCACCATGCTCCCCAACCCCATTTCCTACTTCCATTTTTTCCATAGTACTCAACACCTCCTCACTTACACATCTTATTTTGCATATTGTGTTACTCCCAACTAAAATATGAACTCCGTGAAGGTATAGATTTTTGTCTTTTGTATTCACTGCACTTGGAACCAAGTGGGTGCTTAATAACTATTTGTTGACTAGACGAATGAAGCACCATTTGTTGAATGACCTTGAGGACTCATGCAGGATGCAAAACAAATTTCTCAGCCCGACTTAACTCCGTCATCCTTTCTTCCAGCTCACCCAACCCATGTTCTAGATTCATTCCTGCCTCCGCGCATTTGCTTAAAGTCATACCTGCGCCAGGATCACCCTCCCCACTCGCCAAACTCTCCCTCTAAATTCTCCCTCCCCGCGCCATGACGTCAGCGTGTGGACAGGGGGCCCCCCCAGGCACGGTTGGAAGGTTGACGGGTTGCCATGGTTACTGCACCCGCCTGAGGTGGAATATCCCCAGGGTGCCCCGCCCCAGTGGGTAATAGTTGGTTGGCGGATCCAGAGCAGCCCCGCGCCGGGGCAGATCAGAGCGGGCGGCAATCGTGTTTTCGTACGCCCCCACCTCACCCACACAGTTGTCATGGAAACGGAGCGCTTCCCTCCAGAGCCGTTTGCCTCCCCTCTCTCCTAGAAAATGAGACCCAAGCAGAGTAAGAACGCTGGGTTAGGCGGGAAGACTGTCAGAAAGGCAAGGACGCCGCTCGTTCTCAGCGATCTCTCCATCATTTCTCCCACCTCCTCCAAGGATTGCTACGCCTGCGCAGGGACGGAGCCCCGGGTACCAAAGCTAGCGGGGGTAGGGGGGGTAGGGGGGGTAGGGAGCCAGGGGCGCGCATGCGTGAACAGAGTTTTCCGCGTACGCTGCTGAGGCATCAAGAAGCTAGGGGACCTAACGCAGCGCTAATGTTGCGCCTGCGCAGCTAAGCCCCGCTCAAGGAGGCCCGTGGAAGGCAATTCTGCGCTTGCGCCGTGGGAGGGGCGTGAAACTCTAGCGGTAAGGGCGTTGGGGGCTGACTGGCGCTAGGTGCGCCTGCGCCGTGGCTCTTGGGGCGGCCGGGGGCGGGGCCCAGAGGGGGAAGAGAGAGGAAGGGGGGAGGGAAGAGGCCGCAGAAGCCCGAGCCTTGACCGACGGGCAGGCAGGGGCTGCGGCGGCGCCGGTGAGTGACCCGCGGCCCGACTCGGTCCCCACCCTCCACGACCCTCACTCTTCCTGGAGTCCCCCATCGCCTCCGTTGGCCCCTCTTACTCCCGGACCCCATTACCCCCAGAGCTCCTCTTAATTCCTGGTAATCCCCAGAGCCCCACAATCCCCGCAGACCCTAATCCCTCGTATTTTATAGTCCCAGCTCCTCCACTGTCCTCGAAGCCCCCAACTCACCGTGATTCCCGGGCATCCCTTCCGAGGATCCCTTCTCATACCGTTCTTACGTCTTATTGCCCCGGCACCCCCGGAGCGCTCCTCTGCTCCAGATCCCCCCTTCTTGCTGCATCTCTCCTTCAGCATCTCCTTACCCCCATCACCCCCATGCTTCTTCGACCCCCGAGACACCCCCATTCTCCCTCCATTTCGCATTCTCCTATGCCCCCATTCTCCTCTAACTCCTGCAGACACCCCCTTTTCTTTCGCTTTTCCTCATTTCCCTCCACCCCTCCAGACCCTCCCCCAATTTCCATCAACTCCTCGGCGTGGCACTTTGCGCCGCGCTAGGCACTAGAGGAGCGCTCAGCGGTGTCAGCTATTATTAGGCACTCTGAATGTCCCGCGTGGCCCGTCGCCCCCAGCCACTCTCCGCTCCAACCCGTTGCCCCGGGGACACAGGAGGCGGTGTCGGGGCGGCCGGGGTGGGGCGGGCGGCGCGCGGACGCCGAGCCCCCGCCAGCGCTGTGCGCCCTGTGCCCGCAGCACCGGCGCCCCCCCATGCGCCAGGCGGCCGGACGGCGGCGTCGGGGGGCGCCATGGCCTCGGCGGCGGCGGGCGAAGCGGAAGAGACCACCCGGCTGCGCAAGCCGCGCTTCTCGTTCGAGGAGAACCAGATCTTGATCCGTGAGGTGCGCGCCCACTACCCGCAGCTCTACGGCGCGCAGAGCCGTCGGGTGAGCGTGGCAGAGCGGCGGCGTGTGTGGGACGGCATCGCCGCCAAGATCAACGGCATCACCAGCTGGAAGCGCACCGGCCAAGAGGTGCAGAAGCGCTGGAATGACTTCAAGCGCCGCACCAAGGAGAAGCTGGCCCGCGTGCCGCACTCCACGCAGGGCGCCGGGCCTGCCGCTGAGGACGCCTTCACCGCGGAGGAGGAGACCATTTTTGCCATCCTGGGGCCGGGCGTGGCGGGGCCAGGAGCTGGTGCAGGGGCCGAGCCTCCCTCCGCGGCGGCTTCCTCACAGCCGCCGGCCGCGAGTGCCGGCACCCAACGCTACGTGTTGTCCGAGGACCGCAGGGAGGACCGACGGGCAGGTGAGTTCCTTCAGCATCACCTTAGCCAGAGCAGACGGTCACCAAGTCAGCTGTGTGCTCGGCACTGTTCCGAGCCCTTCCCGTGGCTCATCACATCCTCACTTACAACCCGGTGAGGTGGGTGCTGTAATTATGTCCATTTTAAATCTGGGGAAACTGAGGCTCAGAAAAGTGAAATGACTTGCCCAAAGTACCACAGCTCATGACTGTCAGAGTCATGAACGGAACCCAGACCTAGGAGGCCTGGCTCCAGAGTCCACACCTGGGATTATCAGCACACACGGGATTTCATTAAACGCAGTGTAAGGTAGTGACAATGGCGGCAGAGTGTGTGGGCTCCCGGCACAAGTCTGCCACTCAGCGGTGTCATTCTGGGTAAGTTACTGCGGGTCAGTTTCTGCCTCTGTACAATGGGGATGAAAAACACAGTCCCCACCTCAAAAGCTTGCTGCGAAGATTAAATGAGTTAATATGTGTAAATTGCTTAGTACAGCGCCTCCTGAACACTCAGCTCTTGATAGGATTACCAACGCTGGGAGGTATGAACTGTTTTACCGTTTCATAAGTCAAAGACTCGGAGAGGTTTGGTAACTTTCCCAAGGTCATGCGATGAGTAGGGCAAGTGTGGAGAGCAGAGAACAGAGACTTCCCACTTAGCCTTGACGCTGGATTATTCTTTCTTCTACAGCTATTTCCTGAGCATCTGCCTTGTGCTGGGCAGTGTTGGGGACACAGTGGTGACTGAGACATCCCCAGCCTTGCCCTCCTGGGGCTGAGCTGTGGGAGTGCGGAGGGGGCATCTGACCCAGGCTGGGAGGTCAAGGAAGGCTTCCTGGAGGAGGAAACATCAGAGCCGCAGAGAGTGAGGAGCTGAGGGAGTGTTCCTGGTAGAAGGAACAGCATGTACAGTGACTTTGAGACAAGAAGGTTTAGCCAGTTTAGGAACTGAGAAGTTTCCAAGTTAGGAGAAAGGAAAATAAAAAGATTGAAGAAAGGAAATGTTTTGAGATGAGGTCAGGGAGGTCAGCAAAGGCCAGATCATGCAGTGCCTTTTAGGCTGAGGTGAGGAATTTTATCTGAAGTGCTATAAGGAGTCACTGAAGGGTTTTGAGGAAGGGAAGGACGTGGAAGTGATCAAGCAAGTTCAGGATCATGTGATTCAGAGAAGTTTATTCACTTATCCAAGGTCACACAGCAAGTAAGTAGTAGAATTGGGACTCAATTACAGGTTGTATCCAACTCACAGTGCATGCACTTAACCACTGCGCTAGATTGCCTGGCAATAACAGCAACAATTAATATTGACTGAGAGTTAATGGGTATGCCAGAATTAGATCACACACAGTGTGTTAAGTGAAGGTCATCACTTTGGACTTTATCTTCAGGGCACTGGGGAGGCCTGAAAGCATCTTCGGCAGGAGAGAGAGACACACAATTGCTTGGGACCCTTGTTCTTAATATGACTCTCAAACCTCATTGTTTCTATCTGTGAAATGGCCACATTGAACCAGAGCGGAGATGGCAAACTTATTTTTTCAAGAGTTGTACAACTATTTTATTCATTCATTCATTCATTCAACAAATATTCATTGAGCACCTCTTCCAAGGCAGGCACAGTGGTAGATGCTGGAAATACTATGGAGAAAAAGACAATGGAGCTGGCATTCCAGTTACTGGAGACAGACCACAAACAAGGAGCCCCAAAACAGATCATATACCAGGAGGTGGTAAGAACTAAGAGGAAAAATAAAGCGCGTTAGGAGCATAGTGAGTGATGGAAGGGGGCCGCTTATAGGTAGGGTAGTCAGGGAGGTCATCTCTGAAAAGGTGGAATCCGAGCAGAGACCTGAATAGAGAAAGTGAGCCAAGTGGATATCTGGGAGACTAGCACTTCACAGCTAGAGGAAGCCACACATGCAAAGGCCCTGGGGCAGGAATGTGCTTAAAGCATCCTTGATTGGAACCTCACATGGAGATTCCCCACTGTGTAAACTCATAAAAGAGGAACTGCTCTGATTGCAGGACTGGAACAGGGTTTGGGGCAGCCTGAGGCGTCTCTGTTGACACTAGAGGGAGACCTACGGATAATTTCTCTCTGACCTAATATTCGAAAACACACACACACACACACACACACACACACACACACACACACACACCAGTAATGGCATTGAAGATTTACTGTGTGCCAGGCACTGGCCTCAACCCTGTGCCTAGGGTGATTCAGTTAATCCCAGTGATGGCCCTTAGGGAGATGTTCTGGTATTGGGTCACTTGGTCCTTTGCTCACACACACCTATTTACGGGTGGGGAAATTGAGGCCCAAAGGTTGCAGATAAATGATTTTAAATCGTGTCATGGTCCCTCCATGACCCCGGTGGGCACGACGGCTGGGCCACTTTCTCTTGTTCAGTAGGCTAGAAGAGCAGTATTTCAGAGTGGCGGCAGCAGTCCCCACACCCCTTATGAGGGAGACTAACCGCCCTTGGGCCCACAGCCCTGTCCAAGGACTGGTTAAAAGCATGGGTTCTGGAGACCGCCTGGGGTTCAAATCCCTCCTCTCCCATTCACCAGCACTGTGACATCTCTGGGCCTCGGGTCTCCTCATCTGTAAAATGGGTGAATAATGACAGCACTTTCCCGCAGAGAATGGCTGACAGGACGCACTGAAAGAACATAGCAGGAAAGCTTAGCTGCTTCGCCCCAGGGCCAGGCCAGGAAAGAGTCGAATAAGTGTTAGCTCTGGTTATCACCTCTCTCGCCACCTCCCCTGCCTCCCCCTGCCTGGCTGGCCCAGGGAGGCTGGCCCCCCAGCATTTACGGCTGGAGGTGGCTGGCTGTTGCTGCAGCAGGAGAGCAGGGAGATCAGATTTGGCCTCAGAGTAGGAGGCAGGCTTCCCCGGGGAAGGAGTCTCTGAGCTGGCCAAGGGGCCGTGCAAGGGGGGATACTCCTGGTGGAGGGAACTGCATGTACGCTGGCCCTGAGCCAAGGAAGAGGGACAGAAAGGGGTAAGAGCTGAGGCCTTGCAGCCTTTGGGAGGGGCTGGCCTGTGTCCCCTGTGGGTGCTGGGGAGCCATGGGAGGGTTGCGGCAAGGACCTGGGGCCCGGGGCCCCGATCAGGGCTGACTCCCTTGGAAGCCACAGTTCTTTTTTCATTAAAGAAAAAATTTTGTGCTGGACATTGTTCTAGGCGCTGGGTAAACAGCGGTGAACAAAACAAAGCCCTGCCTGATGGAGCTGACATCAGGAGGAGGAGACAGACAACAAACTCAGAGCGACCCCATGCCAGGTGGAGATAAGTGATATAAAAGAAATCAGGTAGGGTTAGGAGAGAGAAAAGGACAGAGACGGGAGCTACTGTAGACGGCAGGTCATGGAAGGTTTTCCCACGGAGGCCACATTTGAGCAGAGGAGCTGAGGGAGGGAGCCAGGCAGGTGTCTGGGGAAAGAGCTTTCCAGGCCGAGGAACAGCGAGTGCAAAGGCCCTGAGGCAGGGGCAGACCTGTTGTGTTTGTGGACCAACAAGAAGGCCAATGCAGCTGGAGCCTCCTGAAAGAGAGATACAAAGGGGAGGGGGTGCAGACAAGGTCAGGGAGGCAATGGAACAAAGTATGCAGAGCCTTGGGGGCCCCAAGGGCTTTGTTTTTACTCTGAGAACAGAGAGCCCCAGGCAGCTTTTGAGCAGAAAAAGACCACGTCTGACTTGTGTTTTTTACACACCTTGATTGAGCTACAATTCCCATACTGTACAGCCACCCATTAAAGAGGGACAATGCAGGAGCTATTAGCATATTCATGGAGTTGTACAACCATCACTACCATCAATTTTAGAAGATTTTCATCGCTCAGAAAAGAACCCCCCCGCCCCCGCACCTCTTAGCTGTCACCCCCAGCTCTGCCCAGCCCCAGGCGACCACTCATCTACTCTGTCTTCTCTAGATTTGCCTATTTTGGACATGTCCTATAAATGGATCAGAGGCTAGGTGGTCCTCTGCGGGTGGCAGAATTGACATGTTATTTTGGAGGGACCGCCACGGTCCAAGTGGGAGATGCCGGTGGTTGGACTAGGAGGGGCTGTGGAGGTGGACAGAACAAACAGGTTGGATGTTGAAAATAGTTGGGAAGGCCGAACCAGTGACATTTGCACACGGACGGTGTCTTGGGGGAGAAAAGGAGTGAAAGTTTTTGGCCAGTGTGGTGGGAATCAGCCAAGACTGGGATGGGGGCGGGACGGGGGGGCGGGGGGGGGCGGGAGGACCAGGAGCTCAGCCCTGGGCCAGAGAGTGTGAGCCGTTGCTAGATAACGGAGGGGGTATGCCAACGACACAACTGGAGGAGAGGTTTCGGGCTGGGCCCGGAAACCTGGGCGTCTGTTTGCACACTCTGTTCAAGTTCATGAGCATGAATGAGATCTCAGGTGAGAGGAGCCGGGGAAGCGCAGACCACAGCTGAGACAGAACTCCTACCACCTGATAGGACAGAGCCCAGCAATGCAGCCTGAGAGGTGTGTGGTGGGGGGAGTGTCCAGAGAGTTCAGAGCCTTCTAGGGTGTTGGTCCTGCCTGGCTCAGCAGGGGACCTCCAGGACCCCATTTCCACTAAGGCCCGCATCGGCCCTCAGGTGGTTGGTTAAATATATTGACTCTCCCCACTGTGCTCTCCTACAAGGCGTGATCCGAGTCGGGTTTTGAAAAGATGGCTCTGGGGCCAGGGTGGGTGGGAAGCGGAAAGGGGAAATCAAGACAGCATTGGGGGTCGCTGTCACCTTACCTACATCTCTCTCTCCACAGATACACCAGCCCACAGCAAGGGGGGCTCCAGCAGCCCCGAGCAGTGGGCCCGGCCCTCCTGCAGTCCCCAGGAAGGGGGCTGCCCGCCACCCAAGGAGCGTGAGTCCCCGCCCCCTCCAGCCCTGCAGACTGTGCAGCTGCCCCGCCTGGCCTTGTCTCCACCGCCCCCAGCCCCTCCGCCGCAGCCACCACCCCAGCCACCTCAGCAGGTGCATGTGGCACCCTCGTCCCCCAGCCCACCACCTCCTCCGCTGCCACCCCCCACGCCCTCAGCCTCAGACCCCTCCCTGGACTTCCTGCGGGCTCAGCAGGAGACTGCCAATGCCATCCGGGAGCTGGCTGGCACCCTGCAGCAGGGACTGGCCAAACTGAGTGAGGCTCTCAGCGCCCTACTGCCCCTTCTGCCCGGAACGGCCGTCGACAGGCTGCCCCCGCCTCTGCCCCCGCCCCCGCCCCCACCCCCCAGGCCCCTCCTGTCCCCCCCTACCCCCAAAGCCGAGATCACCCCAGAACCCGTGTCCGTGGTAGCTGCTGTGGTGGACAGAGCGGTGGTCGCAGCCAGGGGAGTGATCATCGCCCCTAGGAGCGAGGAGGGGACCCCCCGGCCACCCCCAGCCCCGCTTCCTCCCCACGACTCACCCCCACACAAGAGGAGGAAAGGCTTCCCTACGCGGAAGAGGCGGGGGCGATGGAAATCTCCGTGAAATCTGCTCTTGGGTTTGAGCTTGTCTCCGCTCCTTCTGCCTGCACCTCCTTCCCCCAGCTTAGCCCAGTGGAGGAGGGCGATGCACCTTCCCCATCTCAGCTGCCCCCTGGCTCCCCAGCTGCAGGGGCACCAGCACCCCACTCCCTATACTAGTTAGTGCCTGATTCTCAGGGGACCTCGTTGAAGGGTGCCCCAGCCCTTTCTCCAGTACAGCGCTGTCTGCCTGGCTGCTTCCCTGAACCCCAACTTCTAAGCCATCGATTTTACGTTATTTATTATTGCCCTTTGTGGGTTGCGGAGGGAACCCCTCGGGTCTGCACATACCCCCTTCCCTAACAACTCCTGGTCTTGACTTGAAGAGAATTGACTCGCAGGGGCCTCCTCGCTTCCCCGATCCAGACTTTGGAGGGGGTGGGAGGCTCGAGACAAATCAGAATATGACGAAGGATACAGCAGTCTCTGTACCTTAGGGAGGGGGGGTGGAGTTCTCACTGGGGAGGTAACAGGTTGGGCCCTCTGCCTCCCAGTGCTGTCTCTGACCTCCAGAGCTCAACCCCCTCGTTTCTCCCCGGTGGTGACAAGATATGAATAAACTTATTTTTAATACGATTACTTTGGGCTCTGAGACAGGCCTGGGGTTTCAGCACTTACACCTGCCCCCACCCCTCCATGGACAGGTGGCGTTCCCTTGAAGTTGGAGGCTGGCCGTTTTCCAGCTCCCCCCCCTTTTTTTTCCCTTTCTTTCCTTAAAGTCATCAAATCCTGTGTTCAAATCTTATTCCTACTTACCCATCCTTCAGATACCAGCCTAAATGTCATCTCCTCCAGGAAAACTTTCTGGATTTCCTCCTCCAGGCTAGGATGGGCTTGCTTAGATTTTTTTCCTAGTGTCCTGTGGTCCCTCAAAGAACACATGCCTTTATCTGTTTAAAGCTGTTTCACCCCGCCCCCCCGCCGCCAACCCAGTTTCATGAAGGCAAGAGCTAGTTCTCTTTTTTACTCCTAAACCTGCTGCAAAGCATAGTAGCAAAGTAGCTAATAACCACCACCCTGGATTCAGTCAGACCTGGCACTGCCCCAGCTAGCTGTGTGGGCCTTCCTTTTCCTCATCTGTAAAATGGGCATAAAAAATGCAGGCGTCCACAGCTCCATTCTATTTTCATCTTTCAGGTCTCAGCTCAAATATCACCTCCTCAGAAAAGTCTTCCCTGGCACTCCCTCTCCCCCAGCAGTTAGGGAAAAGATGTAGTCAAATAATCATTTGAGTAAATTTAAATTGAATGTCTGCCTCCATCTCCAGGATGAGCCTTGTCAGGGGAAGGCCTGAGCCTAGCTCAGTCAGTGCTGTGTCCTCAGCATCACCCAACTCAGAGGAGGGTTACATCTTTGAGTTAATGAGTAGCTTAAAAACAGTTTCCACGTATGGTGCTCCTTTTCTGGGCCAGGCACCATGCTAAACATTTATATGCATGTTTTCATTTTAACTTGAGGCTGCCCTATGAAAAGCAGATTCTATGGGGGTCTCTGTTTTTTCCTGAGTTTAGAGACTTGCCCTAGACTTGTCAGGGGCCAATCCCAATTCAGCCCACCTGAAACTGGACTCCAGCCACAACTCTTGACCCCTGCTAGTGTTTATTGAAGAATGGCTTAAAGAATTTTAGGGGATACATGGATGGCCGCTTTTTTTTTTTTTTAACATTTTGTGTATTTATTTGAGAGAGCAGGAGCACGAGCGGGGTGAGGGACAGATGGAGAAGCAGACGCCCCACTGGGCAGGCAGCCCGATGTGGGGCTCCATCCCAGAACCCCAAGATCATGACCTGAGCCAAAGGCGTCCCTATGGATGACCTTTCTAATGGTTCTTATGTAGTGTTAAACTTGATTAAAATGTAGCTAGTACCAAAAAAATGTAGCCAGTACATAAAAAACCTGCACTTCTGCACATAATACAGACATACCTCGTTTTATTGTGCTTTGCTTTATTGCACTTCACAGATACTGCATTTTATTTTTTTACAAGTTGAAGGTTTGTGGCAACCCTGGGTCAAGCAAGTCTGTCAATGTCATTTTTCCAACAGTTGCTCACTTCGTCTATCTGTGTCACATTTTGGTAATTCGTGCAATATTTCCAACTTTTGCATTATTACTACATTTGTTATGGTGCTCTGTGATCACTGACCTCGGAGAGCTCAGATGATGGTTAACATTTTTTAGCAATAAAATATTTTTTAATTAAGGTATATACATTGTTTCTTTGGATATGATGCCAGTGCACACTTAATAAACTGTAGCGTAAACTTTCAGATGCATTGGAAAAACCAAAAAGTTCATTTGACTCGCTGTATTGCCATATTTGCTTTATTGCTAGGTTTGCTGCATTGTGGTAATCTGGAAGGAGCCTGCAATATTTCCGAGGTATGTCTGTATTGCTTAGGAGGAGGGAAAAGTAGATAGTCTCCTCCCCCCCGCCCCCCCCCCCCCCGGGGAGTCAGTTTCCAGAAAATAACACAGGTGTTCAGTGAAATTGTGAAGCTGACACTAATGTTTGGATAACAAAATCAGAGCTGCTAGAATTGCAGCGGGATGTGGGAGAGGAAGCAGACAGTCCGATTAGTTTGAAAGTCACTAATGAATGCAAGTCTGACAAGTCATTCAAATATTGAGCGCTTATCACGGACCCAGGCTTAGAGTAAGAGGGTGATGGGGGTTAGAACCTGGAGACTTGTCTCTCCTCCCCTCCCTACTCTTCAAGCCTGACTCGCACTGTTCCCGATGCTGGGAAGAAATCCCTCTCCGGGGGCGGGGTGGGGTGGGTGTCCCCAAAGTCTGGTTGGTCCGATCAGGTAGTAAGCACTCAAGGTTGGAGAAAAACTACCCCCCCCAACTCTTGCTGGCCATCTCTGGCCTCCTTCCCTTCCCCCAAATTAGCGAGCAGTAGAGGGTGAGGATTCCCTCAAAGCAGTGCTCCCCAAAAACGTAAAGCCCCCAGAAATTGAGCGGGGGGTGAGAGACAGCGGGAATCGGGAAGGCCTCCCCCAACCTCCCAGGCAGCGGAAGTGCGTCAGTTTGTCCTCCCGGCAGAGCATTTTGGGAATTGTAGTGAAGTGGAGGTGGGGAGCGGAGGGGGGGCGGGCAGAAACACAGCGTAACTCTTTGTAGACCAGAGCGCGCCGGCAGAGCTGGAACAGAGTTCGAGGGCTTTCGACCACTCTCTTTATTAGATGAGGCAACGGGCAGAGAGAGACCTTCGTTCTTCCCCTTTCTCCGGCTGTTTCCGGCCCCATTCAGAGAATGATATGCAAGATTGGAGGCAAATGAGGTGCCAAGCCGAACCCTCTCTCCCCCAGTTGCCAGCTTCCCGTCCCCCTACCCCGAAACCATCCAATCAGAGCCCCTCCGCCCTGCCCCAGGAGCTGCTGCTTCCCTAACTAGGCTTTAGCCCACCTTTGATGGGGGGGGGAATTGAGCCTCAGAAAGACCAAGACTTTTTGCCTAAAGCCGCACAGCAAGTCGGAACAGAAACTAGACGCCCGAAAGCTGTCCACTTCCTACCATTTCTGAATCCGTGATAGCTCTCCCCATTCCTATCTCATCCCCGCCCCCAAACCCTGTGCCCGAGCTCCTCCGAGCGCGTGGAACTCCCTTCCCGGCCGAGATGAGTAGTAGTGTTTGCGCGTCGGAGAGGCGGCAAGCCCGCCCCTCCGCCGCCAGCCGTCCCCTTTAAGAATCGGCCCCGGCGGGACTACGTTTCCCAGAAGGCTTTGCCGGCGCGTTATGTAACTTTCCCTGCGAAGCGGCCTCTGGGGCAGAAGGAGGTGGAGGCGGCGGCGGCCGTTGCAGTGGCGGCGACGGCGGCGGCGGCGGGAGCCCGAGGCGGCGGCGGCGGCGGGAGCGGCCCATCCCGGGGCCCGAGCTGTGCGCCTCGGCCCGGAGCCCGGATCGGGGGGGGGCGCCGACGAGCCTCTAACAGGCTTTTCAAGGAGGCGGGAGTGAGGAAAAAGGCTTAGGGCCCAGGGGGCGGGGAAGGGGGGCCGGGCCTGGATCCGCGGGGAGGCCGCGCCGGAGGCCTGACTGTGGGCTCGCGCGGTCCCGGGGACACGAATTGAACGTCGGCGGCGCGGATCGGACGTCGGCGGCGGGTGGAACGCCGGGGCGCCCCGGCGCGCGCGCAGGGGTCATGGCGTCGGTGCAGGCGTCCCGCCGCCAGTGGTGTTACCTCTGCGACCTGCCCAAGATGCCGTGGGCCATGGTGTGGGACTTCAGCGAGGCGGTGTGCCGAGGTTGCGTGAACTTCGAGGGTGCGGATCGCATCGAGCTGCTCATCGACGCGGCCCGCCAACTCAAGCGCAGCCACGTGCTCCCCGAGGGCCGCTCTCCTGGGCCCCCCGCCCTCAAGCACCCGACCACTAAGGACCTGGCTGCGGCCGCTGCACAGGGGCCTCAGTTACCGCCTCCGCAGGCCCAGCCCCAGCCGTCAGGAACAGGCGGTGGCATCTCTGGCCAGGACCGCTATGACAGGGCCACATCGTCTGGCCGCCTCCCCCTGCCCTCGCCCGCCCTGGAGTACACCCTGGGGTCCCGCCTGGCTAATGGGCTGGGCCGCGAGGAGGCCGTGGCGGAGGGGGCGCGGAGGGCCCTGCTTGGCTCCATGCCCAGCTTGGTGCCCCCCGGGCTGCTGGCAGCTGCGGTGTCTGGCCTGGGAAGCCGAGGCCTGACGCTGGCACCCGGCTTGAGTCCTGCCCGTCCGGCGTTTGGCTCCGATTTCGAGAAAGAGAAGCAGCAGAGGAATGCGGACTGTCTGGCAGAACTGAACGAGGCCATGCGTGGCCGGGCGGAGGAGTGGCACGGGCGCCCCAAAGCTGTGCGGGAGCAGCTCCTGGCGCTGTCTGCCTGCGCCCCCTTCAATGTCCGCTTCAAGAAGGATCACGGGCTGGTGGGGCGGGTGTTCGCTTTTGACGCTACTGCCCGCCCGCCGGGCTACGAGTTCGAGCTGAAGCT